TTTAGATGGTTAAATAGTCATACTTCTTATAAGAGGTTGGGTGTTCAAATCTCTTTAACCTTATTAAATAACAACCTCTAACATCATACTTTCTCTAAATTGTACACATGTCAACTTGTGGTAAAAATTTCTCGTCTAAATCAATTGCTGACATCATATCCTTAGTAGTATTTTTTTTATCATTATTTTAACCTTAGATTATTATATTATATATAATCTAATACTCCATATACTAAATTGGATTTTTTTTTTAAGGGAATTTTCCCTCCTAAAATTCTTTTTTTTTTTTTTTTTTTTTTTTGTGAAAGCATTAATTTGCCTAGGAAATTCATAATATTTATTTATCAATATAATTTTTTTTAATACTATTATTACAATTGACTATTGTATTATACTTTATATTTCTCTATAAACTTCTATATTTCAAGTATCAATAATTTAAAAAAACCGAGCATGACTCGAGTATTATCTAGTATGTTAGTATAGATATACGACCTAGTTAATGACATGACGTCCAAAAATGTGAAGGGGGTCGTATTAGGTATTACTATCAATTACTATTAGTTTTAAGTCTAGCACCTACCAGACCAGGCTACCAGTCAGCAACCATGCACGTGTGACATGATAGATATGCATAGGATTAATCCTTCATTAACCTTGAAAATATTTAATTAAGGATTTTAATCAAACAATTAAACAGAATTTGAGGACTAATATGTTGGCATGTAGTGGGGACACTTGCCACCTCTCAGTGACGGATCATCACAACTTTCTTATGAGGGGCCAAATAAACCAATATCTAAACTTTATATAGAGATAGACAACAAGTACTAATAAATTAATAACCTTACTAATTCTAACTTTTGTTAATAATTAATTAAAAAATTATAAATAGTTAAAGCAATGTATTTATTGATAAAAAAGGAGCTAATAATTAACTATCCCAAATTTAAAAAAGTAAAATCAATACTTGCATAATATACATAATTAGCATTAATTTTTTTTAACTATAAAAAAATAAACAATTTGATATAGATAATAACAAATACTTTTAACAAAAAAAAAAAAAAAAAAAAAAAAAAAAAAAAAAAAAAACTAATAGGAGTACTTGTATCTCGTACTACAATACTCTAGTATTTACAAGTCTAGAGAGATGTTGGGCACTATACAATGAAATACACTGATGTGATATATTGTGAAAGTAGTGTGAAACAATCAATTAAAATAATAGACACTGAAATTTGTGCCAAATAAAAAATAATAATAAAGTAAATAAATAAGAACTAAATCAAGTAAGTTTGGATTTTGATGTAAAAAGCTACATTCTAATTAAGTGGGTCTTCCTTTCCTTCTTGCCTATAAAAAATAATGGGTCTTTCTTTAAATTTACTGAATAAAAAAAAAAATTGGGCCAAATTCTAAGGGGGCAGACTCCTACCCGCCCCTTAGAAGGTCCGCCCCTGCCACCTCTACATTGCACATGTTAATAAAATGGATAAAGAGGCTTCTAGTTCTAACTTTGTTTGTAGAGAAGGGAAGGGATTTTGGTTTTTTTTTTTTTTTTTTATTATTTTTTTTGGTCTTTTAATTAAATTTAAATGTGGAGTATTAAAAATGAGTTTAGAGACAAGTGTCATGTAAAATTCCTAGGGTAAGCTTTGTCTTGTAGATTTGTTTAACTCCATAATCATAGTTCCTTAGTTTCGTATTGATCTTCCTAGGGAATTTTGGCTTTTTTTTTTTTTTTGGCCTTTTAATTAAATCTAAATGTAGGACTCATGCTATATCTACACTTCAAGTCTAACGGGCTCTTGTGTGAGAGGGAGGATAGAATATATTAAAACATATTCCTGGGTCTCAATCATAAGTTTAAGCTTTTGATTGAGACGGTCCACTAATATTGACAACATAACTAATCTCTATCCACTACTAATTGACATTTACTAGCTCCGAGCTCGCTACTCTAAAAGATACTTGCTACTCGATCACTACAAGGTATCGCTACCGTTAGTTTTGCCAAATATAGCCCTAATCAGAGTCCTTGTTACTAAAAAAATAAAGTTGAGTACTCTGCATGCAAATAATGACATAGGACAGGACATTTCATTAAAACAAAGGCAATGTCTCTTGGTTGAGGAAGTGATAAAGTGGTATAGTTATATACGTCATAGCATGTAATATCGTAAGGTACCAATGAGTTGCGAAATGTACCATCGATAGTGGAATAGTATTATAAACGGTTATAATAGTGTTAAAGATTGTTACAATGGTATACTTTTGAAACTAATATATATACTATTACTTTTATTAGGTTGTGAAATCGTGCCATTGATAGTATAATGATATTAACCTGTTATAATGGTACTAAAATAACTAATAAATTTATAAAATATGATCCCATCACCTATTACTATTTTAATAAATTACCATTATACCCTTATTATATACCAACAAATAATAGTAATACTCCCTTGAGAATTCCACCCGTTCTATTTCATTGTATTATACCAAGCAAAGCTTGGTGGAGTTAGTGGGGAACTCACTTTGTAATTTTGAGGTCACACGTTCGAGTTCCACTAACTACAAAATGCTTGGGAGTAGGGGGATTTCCTTACTTCCCCTCTACTCTCAAGCGTTGACCTGCGGAGTTGGACTGGTTAAACCTGTGAGAGGTGTCGATTCACTAGGGTCCTTTATCTTACTTTTTTTTTTTTTTTAGTTTACTTTATGTTGAAGGGCCCTATGTGTGTTGGAGCTGTGATGCGGTGGCTAATTCAAATACCTTTTAGTTACAATTGACAAATTGATAAGATAATCACCTGAAAGTTCTTTTAGGGTACACTTGTAAAGTACATATTCCAAGCAATCAATTATAAGTGCATCCAAAATACGTGTTTATAGCTAACCATTCATACAAGAATTTGTGAGTGTGCTGTGTGACAACTATTTTTACAATCTTCAGGATTACACCCAACAATATGGAGTATTTTAATTTTGTCAAAAATAGTTTTTAGTAAGAAAGTGGACAATTTGTGCTAAATGTCATATTGTCAAGTTCGTGTCAATAGTATAAACAGTTTAAAGCTTAAATAATTTTCTCAATAATCATTTGACAACTAAATTTTTGAGAAAGTTAAATTTTTTATGGTGTATTCAAGGATAAGATTCACCTTTAAGAAAAAAATATTATTAGAGTAAATAAATAAGTGGTTAAGTTAAGTCTTTGTATACGTTTCATGAAATCTTAAAGCTCATATCATTTTTTTGTAATTTGCTCAATAATCATTTGTCTACTAAATTCTGTATTTTATTGAAAAATACTTGTTGTGTACTTAAGGATAAGATGCATCCTTAGCTCTCACGTTTAACAAAAACAATTAAATAATTGTGGTATGCTGGATTGCTTTAAGCCTTTGTGGGTGTTTCATGAAAGTGCAAATTATCTCAAATTAATGTTTAAAGGGAATTGTTTTTGAATAATATTAGAAATTATTATTCATATATGGTTTATTTTATAAATAATAAGACTAATTATGTTCGATGTCTATTTGGAACTGTTTAGTTTATACTACTCTGTATTTATTATTTATAATCCCCAACAAACCTCATTTTTATGATACTGTTTAAAATTATCTGCTGATTAAACTGATACACTTAAAAAAAAAAGGAGGGAGTAATACATATATAAGTGAACTTGGTTGTAACATAATTTGGTTAGAAATCTCGTTGACGAACATTTTCTTTTGATTTCACATACACATACAACTTTTTAGGCATGATGCAGATTGTTCATATAGGACATGAATGCATCACGCACACTGTACACTCCACACAATTAAATTGTTCATCTCGAGGATTTCCAAAAAAAATCCCAAATTGAAAAGAAAAAAAAATCTTTATCACAAATCCTAACTTGTTCAAAACCTGGCCATAAATTAGATATTCTAGATTATATATACTCGTAGAATGTATTAAAAACTTACTACCACAACAAAGAAATGGAGTTATATCGTTTACACTCATTAATCTATTAAAAAATTTTGTATTACTCGTTATGTTTTAGATCACTTCGAATTTTTTTACTTAAGGTCAATTATTGTCGTGAATATGATGAATTATTAGAGCTCTACCAATGGTGGGCTAAAAATATGCTCATCGGCATATTTGTGAGCAAGAAAGGAGAAATAAGGGTTACAATGGTGGGCTGAAATGACAAAGCCCGTGGGCAAGTGTTAAAATGCCCAAGTCTTGGGCAGAATTTATGATGAACAGTGCAAGCGTGGGCCTTACTTAAATCAGAATAAAAAAAAAAGTATTTCTGGACTGACGCGCAGAGCTTCGGCGAATGGGAAAGCAACACGTGGCAGGCTGCAGCGAATTAACCAATCAGAAAATAGAGTCGTTACACAACGGTTATATATATTAAATCTGATTTTCTGAAAATTCTATTTATTAAAAAAAAAATTACCAATGGTCATAAAATTTAATTCTCTATAAATAGACATGCATTTTGGTATATTTTGGCATAATTTCATACATAACAAAAATCCTCCATATTCTTTATTTTTCTAAATATTCCGAAATTAGAAGAAGATTTTTGCTGTATTTTACCGATGTTCAGATAAATATTAATTTTTTTTTACAAGTTGTATTCTGATTTTCCAATATTGAATGACAAGTTGTTTAACAAGTTGATTTCAATTGTCATCGTTACCGACATAATTGCATTCACTTTTTTCATTGTGTAGTCACTTTTTTCTGAATTCACTTTGTCAGAATACTTTAACTTTTTGTCATTGTTACCGACATAATTGCACTCAAGATTTGTCATTGTCAACTAGCATAGTATACCTATTCCGTGGCTGAAAATTTGATTCCTTCAATTGGTGTGGTCATTCAGATTTGCAACCACATATTCATTTGATATATTTGCTATATATAGTAAGCATGACACATATCCACAACCACACCAATTCAGAAAGTTACATTATTAATACAAGATGTATTCCAAACCATCATCAAGTTCAAGTTCAAGTTCATCTTCTTCAAATATTGAAGAATATGATCAACTCGTTGATGAACTCTTCACATTCCAACCCCCAACTTTCCTCATGCCCCAAACACAATCCCAACCCACTACGGAAACACCCAGATGGGTTACAAATAGAAGAGATAGGGAAATGGGACATGCCAGACTGTTTAATGATTATTTTTCCGATAATCCTGTGTACAACACCAACCAATTTAGAAGAAGATTTCGAATGCAACGACCTTTGTTTTTACGTATAATGAACAAGGTCGTTGAAGGTGATGTTTACTTCCAGCAGCGTAGGGATGCAGCTGGAAGGTTAGGCTTATCACCTCTGCAAAAATGCATAGTCGCGATAAGAATGTTAGCCTACGGCTTGGTTGCAGACGCCGTGGATGAATACGTTCAAATCAGTCAGTCAACCGCTCGAGTTGCCCTTCAACGTTTTTGTGCTGGGGTCATTGATCAGTTCGGAACCGAGTACCTGCGAAACCCTACAACTGATGATTTGGCCCGAATACTGCATCAAAATGAACTGCGTGGTTTTCCAGGCATGATAGGCAGCATTGATTACATGCATTGGGAATGGAAGAACTGTCCAACGACTTGGAAAGCGCAGTACGCCGGTAGAAATAAGAAAGCAAAGCTAATACTAGAAGCTGTTGCGGATTAGGATTTATGGATCTGGCATTCCTTCTTTGGTATTTCCGGATCTTGTAATGATCTTAAAGTGTTGTACCGTTCACCAGTGTTCGATGAGGTTCTGCATGGTCGAGCTCCTCCGGTAAACTTTACAGTTAACGGCCATGAATACAACATGGCTTATTACTTAGCCGACGACATTTATCCAAAGTGGGCAACTTTTATTCAAGGTATCACACACCCTCAAGTTCAGAAGGATAAAATGTTCGCTGACCACCAGGCTGCTGCTCGGAAGGACGTTGAAAGAGCTTTCGGTGTTTTGCAAGCTCGATTTGCAATAATACGAAAACCGTCACTGGCGTACGATGAGGACATACTGCGGGACATAATGAAAGCATGTATCATTATGCACAACATGATTGTTGAAGATGAGCGCCACAACTACACTCGAGCCGAAGTTCTGAGAAGCTTCTACGAAGAAGATCAACAAGATTTACCAACAGCATCAATGTCTACAACGCCACCGTTTGAATTCAACATAGGCCGACCTACCAACTTTGACTTTAACTCATTTCTACAACGAAATGCTTCCCTCCGTGATAGAGAAACTCATCTATCTCTGAAAAGTGATTTAGTCGAACATATTTGGTTACAATACGGGCCAACTAATTAGGGAAAAATTAGCACGACTTAAATAAGGCCAACTACTATGGCCTACCTACTTTTCCGTTCGCAGTCGTATTTTTTTTAATGTTTTGTTTATTTTATTCCCTAACTTTAATTATGCATGACGTTTCAAATGTAATCGGTTTTTAGTACTGCACCGCTTTTTAAAATAAATAAAAACATTTACGAAATTTTTAGCGTTTTGTTACAATTATTTCATCTAACGTACATAATTTAACGACATATATTACCGATAAAAATGACACAAATAAAAAAAATAAGTTACACAAATTTAGACTAGTTTTTATTTATTTGGAGTAATATTGTTAAAATATAAATGAAATTAATAAATAAAAAAGTGTTGTGTAGAAGAGAGAAAGTAATGGTGGGGTATTGAAAAAGTAAGAGAGAAAGAGTGGTGGACAAGCATTATTTTTGCTCACCAGTGGGAGAGAAATTGTGAAAAAAATTGCCAATGGACAAAACTGATTTGTTAAGAGAGAAAGTGGGTAGAGAAATATTCCACCACGAAAATGGTGTTAGTGATAATTTTTCCGCCCGCCGATAGTTTCAATGACTTGACATTGTTCAGACGGTCCCACTCAACAACCCAAGCAATTGTCTGAACCATAACCCATGTGCTCTTAACTCCAAAACCCTAAATCATTCTCATTTCATCTTCATTTAAACCCTAACCCCTCCCAAAACCCTACTTTCTTCCCCCCTTTCTTCTTCTCCTCTCTCTACTTTCTCTCTCTTCCCCAATCGGCAGAAGAAGATGCCGCTTGGTGAAAGAAATGGCGACAAAGAATCCCGCTATTGCGGCGTTGAAACTGACTTCAGCAATGACATGCCGCAGCTTCTTGAGTATAGCATTAAAGGCGGATTCGACTTCGTTCTTGCTACTTTGGTTCGTATGAATTTCCCACATTTTTTCGTTTTATATTCATCCATTTTGATTTTTGAATTGTGGGTTTTATTTGATTTGATTGTTTTTTTGATTTGGTGACTAAATTAGCTGTTCACATTTTAATCTATATGTGTATAGTCAGTCAGTCACCTAAATTGATTTGATTTATGGCAGCTAAGAAGTTATTATACTTTTAATCATCAATGTGGGGTTTTATTTCACTTTGGTGGGCTGTTATATAGCTATATTTTGATGTACATTGCTGGGATTGAATCTCGGTTATTGCTGATTTGTTGTTGTTCAATGTAATGACAATTAATGGGTTATCATGAACGAAATGTTCGGTAATCTTAAATTGTTGAGTAGTAGACTAGGGTGCACACCGGTTCTTGCGTAACTACTTAGCTGCCGGGCTGCTATTACTTTGTATCTAAACCGACCTTGTATATTGTTAGTAGCAAATTACACTGGTATATGGGTTATTCGAACGTAGGAAGTATATATTATATTGAGAGTTCAGTGTGATTGGTGGAGGAGGATTGATTTAGTTTTGTGCCCTTTAACAAGTTAGTAAATGGCGTATATTGGAAAAATGTTACGTTATGTTGAGATTATTATGACATTATCCCACAATTCCCATCAAAGGATACCATCGGTGAATAGGAGCTTTTGGGCTGTCTTAGCTACTCAGTGTGGTTTCTGATGAGAACCTTGCTTTAAATGGCATTTGGCAGATGTTAAGAAATTTTAAACGATTGGAGATAATTAGTCAAGATAATGGCAAATTTCATAAGCTCATTTACCCTGTTCTCACAAATTCTTATAGATTCAAAATAAAAAGTCTTTTTGCTTTATGCAACCCCTTGTTTTAGCTCCTTTATCTTCATGAGGCTGTTTCTGCTTTTGAAGGATTATTCAAGTTCTAGCCTTGAGGTAGTCATTATTAGTGGTTGTTCTTTGGGCATAAGGCTTCAAAAGTTGGTATTAAAGGATGGTTAAAGATGTTTGTGGTGAATGATCAGCTAGCCACATCTGGATGTGTGAATATTCAGTAAGTCACTTAAATGGACATGGTTATGGCAGAAATCTGTGCTGAATTATTTGGGTGTTACATTTTACATTCACCTATCTATTTCCTTGAGCTACATTTTCTTAGTACTGCTAATAAGGGTTGAATAGGCTTGAGGTACATTGACAAAGGTGAAAGTCAATATGGAACAATGTATAAAAAAAGCTCAAGGCGTGCTGAAGCGATAAGGGTTATGCAGAGGCGCGCCTCAGTGCTCCTCTTTGAAGTGAGGCGCACTATATAAACAGTTAAAAAAATTGGCAGAAATTTGCTTCAGGTGTGCCTCGTGTGCCTAATTAAAAACGCCTCGCCCATGCCAAAATAAGCGCTTACCCCCTACTGCCTTGCGCCTCAGCGCCTAGGCGCGCTTTTTCAAACACTGATATGGAACAATTAAAAAGAAATGGGAAGTCTTAGTGTATACTGTCAAGGTATATTTCTTATTAGTCTTAACTTGAAGATGATTAAAGATTTTAATGATAAAAAAGAAGATAAAGACTGTATACTAATTCGTCAGATGAAAAATAAGATCTAGTAATTTAAAGTGTAGACCTTGCTAATCTGATCCCACCCTAAAACCCAAACTCTGCTCGAAATCACTTGTCTTGACTTGGCCCAACTTGATAGGACAATAATTGTGTATAATAAAGATTAAATTATCACAATAAGCCTAATGCAATAGAATTGATATGACCTGATTGACTCAAGCCCCCCAAAAAAGAAAATCACCTTATTATGACCCGAAATCTGATTTCACTTAAGTGGAATAAAATTCTATAAGTGGATTCCAATTTCAGATTATTCAGCTCGTTATGTCATATATACTCTCCTTTAGCATATATTTTATACTGTTGTAGGGTATTGTTACCTTCTTTTGTCTGTTATAGACTATACAAGTAAATCAAGTTTGACTGTTTGCTTTCTTATGGAGGCATATAGTCAAACTTTTATATGGTGACTAATTAGCCAGTCACATGTCAGCTGAATGGTTGATTTTGTGTGGTTGGTCAGTAAGCTCACCGATAGCATCAAGATGATAAAGCCAATATAGTGAAGTTGGTATAAGCAAAGCTTCACTTTCTGCCTATCATCAACATTTGTATTTTGCCTTTTCTTTTGAAAAATTAATTGAATTCTAAACATTGAAAAAGATTGCCGCACATGTTTGTGTCATTAGATCTTCTTGTAAAATTTGTCTCATGAGCTTAATTACTTGATTTCATCTTGACTATTTAAAGCATTTAAAAAACATGTGTGAGTGTGCGCTTTTCTATTATTGCACTCTTAGTTAGTACAGTAAATGAAGTCTGACTGTTTGCATTCTTATAAAAGCTTATAGTTATTCTTGGATGTGGTGGCTAATTAGCCAGCCACATATCAACTAAATGGTTGTTTTCATGTGTGGTTGGTCAGTAAGCTCACCAATAGTATCTAGTTGATAAAGCCAAAATAGTGAAGTTGGAATAAGCTAAGCTTCACTTTCTGCCTATCATTAACATTATTAATATTTTTAAAAATAAAAATCAATTGAACTCTAAACCATTAAAATTAATGTTGCACATGTTTGTGTCGTTAGTCTCTTGTGTAATTGTCTCATGTATTTTATCACTTGATTTCACCTATTTAATTTTTTAAAGCATTAGGATAAAAACGCATATAACTAGCCCGATTGTAGGAAATTCTATTGCTGCTCTTGTAGCACAAGTAAATGAAGTATGACAATATGCTTTTTTACGATCTGGTGGCTAATTAGTCAGTCACATATCAACTGAATGGTTGTTTTCATGCGTGTTCGGTCAGTAAGCTCACCAATAGCATCAAGATGATATAGCCAATATAGTGAAGCTGTTGGTATAAGCTAAACTTCACTTTCTGCCTATCGTTGACATTATTATTATTATTGTTTTTTGAAAAATCAGTTCAGCTCTAAACCTTGAAAATTAACGTTGCTCATGTTTGTGTCATTATTCTCTTGTGTACATATGTTTCATGAGCTTTATCACTCGATTTCATCTATTTTATTGTTTAAAGCGTCAAGGAGTAAATATGTATGAGTTTATGGATTTCTATTGGATCTGGTGGCTAATTAGCCAGTCACATATCAGCGGAATGGTTGTTTTCATGTGTGGTTGGTCAGTAAGCTCACCAATAGTATCTAGATGATGATGTAAGCAGTACAGTGAAGCTGTTATAACTTTTTAAGCAAAGCTTCGCTTCCTTTCTATCAACAACATTAATATTTGTTTTTCTTTTGAAAAGTCAATTGAGTTCTAAACCTTGAAAAAATAAAGATGCTGCACATGTTTGTTATTAGTTTCTCTTGTATATATGTCACTCACTTGATCTAATCTGCTTCCCCAACCCCCCCCCCCCCCCCCCCACCCCCTTTTCTTTCAATTTTTTTTTTGAAACATTAGGGAAAACATGTACGACTCTCTAACGTTGATTTAACAGTATGTTAAAATAATTTGTTGCATTTTCCTTGAGGGGAAATTTACTTAAGACGCCTTTAAATTTTATTATAATTACACAGCAAAGTATATAATCAGATCTGGCTTTGATTGGTATTCTGTTTACTTTCTTGCTCATTTTGTTTGAAAAGTAACCCTCTAATTTGATTCTGTAGGTTGATCCTGCATACCGGCCAAGCCTGGAAAGTAGTAACAATCTGAAATCTGGTGCCCTGCCAGTAGCTGGGTCAGACTTGGTTTTAAGCCCTGCTAAGTGGAGTAGTCATGTTGTTGGTATGAATCTTTTTTTTTTTTTTTTTATTATCATAATGATTGTGTTTGCATTATTTTCTGTAATTTTATTTGTAAATTCACTCACGTTTATGAGGTTTATCTTAAGTCAATAGCAAAGTTGTTTATGGAGAAACTTAGGCATATAGGTTAAGCATCATTCTAAGTGTCTTCTCTTATTTGCTTGATTTTCATATGAAGCTATTCTTTTGTTGGCTTCATATTGAATTTGGAGGAAGGCAGAATGGGTATAAGATTTTATTAATGTTTCAAATATTCTATGATATGGATCTATGCCTGCAGCATTTGTCATCTAGATGTTAATCTTTATTTCAGAGTCACATTTAAGTTATTTCTCCCTCTGTTTCAGGATTTCATAATTGAAAACAGTACCCTAATTAGAGATTTCTATATTTGAGTAGTAATAGTGTATTTTTAGCAGAGTAGTACATTTAGTGCATAGTTTGATTATAAGCATTTGAGGTACTTTTGAAACATCAATAATAATTTAGCTAAATTATGGGGTCCAATTGATAGTTTGATACATCATTTGAAAGTGATGATTACATCAACTATGTTGCAATGTCAGGAAATAATCATTATTTTCCTGAATAGCAGTAGATTATGAGTGAATATCTGATGGTAGGGAATGAGGATGGACCCATTGACTTTATAGTGTGGGGATGTTAGTCATGGGACATAGTGATTTTTTTACTGTAGATGATTAAGGGCTAGCATAATAATTTGTTAAGGGGTTTCTTTGTATGCATCTAATGTTCACATACCCTATCGGTTGTGGGAACCTCTTTATTGGAAGTGTGGTAATGTTGAATTTGTTAGAAAAATGTTACTATTATTTCCAATTGGATGGGTTATAATATTAATATCTGCTATTAAATCATTGTCACTTCAACATTTTATTCTGTGGAGATTATCTGTTTTTTGTATTGGACTGTGATTAGATTTCTAAATAGTTCTGATTACTTATTTCGATTTAGAAAATCTTGCCATGTTATTTTAACAAGATGTCAATTCAGTAATGTGATATTGCTGTTTTCAAGTCTTCATGTTCAATCTTGTATTGAAGCCAATGTTGTCTGTTGTTGTGGATCTGCTTAAAAATCATAAATACCTAAATCTGTCTTTATGATAGGAAAAATCAGCTCATGGATTGACTTGGATTCCGATGATGAAATTCTTAGGAGAGATTCTGAGATCTGTCTGAAGCAAGAAGTTGCTTGGGCTTCCCATCTCTCGCTACAGGTTTGTGAATGTGCCCCAATCCTTTGTGCGTGCATGTGTGTATGTATTTCAGATGCCTGAGTTTGACCTAAATGTCTTCTGATTCATGTCTGCGTATTATTATGGAAAAGCTCCCTTCTGTAAAAAAAATTACATGCTGCAATTTTTTCCCTAATTATCATTTGTCTATCATGATTGTCGAAGCTGCACAGCATATTTGATATATGCTACTAGCAGTACTGAGATCTGAAATGATAAAAATAGTGGATGTCTTTACGTCTTAAAAAGAATTGATCTTTTTTTACTCTAGAGAATTTTCCAGACATTCAGTACCTCGCTATATAAGCATAAAGTTGTGGCATTGATTTGTTCACTAAGCTGTTGTCTATTAACGTAGGATGAATTTGATCACACACTTCGTTCTAAAGGTTTGCTCATGACTTCTTGAGTATAAATGGTCAAACAATTGTTTTGAATGTCAATTGTTTATTACCAAGACGAGAAAAGATTCTACATTCTTTTACTGTGTTCTGTCTTTGTTTGCTTGTTATTTCTTCCCTGTTTGCTTTTTCTAGGACAAGAAGCTCATTATATGATCTAGCCTTTCCCTTCATCAATCAAATCTCTTTTGTTGTCTTACTAAACAGGCTTTGACAAAGTAGTAATGATTGTTGATTCGAAATTTGTTTATTATGATGTTTATTTCCCTTACAAAAGGAAAACTTTTGGTGTTGAATCTTTACACGTTTAACAGGCATGCCTTCTTCCAGTCCCTAAGGGTCAGTCATGTGCCAATTATTCAAGATGTGTGAATCAGATTCTGCAAAGCTCAAACAACATGCAGGTAACTTTTTGAAGATCTTTCTGTTGTGAAATATCATCTACATATCTTATTTAACCTTCTTATCAATGTTTTACTACAGTTGTGGCTCAGAATTCCTTTGAGAAAGCACGAAGACGGTGACCCTATGGATGATCAATCATTAGTAAGTGATGCCCTATATTCTCCTCCATTTTATTGCACTGCATTGGAGAGGAGTGTTTGGTAGTAAGTAGATGGAGATATAAGTGTTGGTTGGATCTAATTTGTAAATCTGATTAGTCAATTTACTCATTTGTAGGAGGAGTGTATTGAAGCACTTTTGATGAAAAGATAAAATTATAGAACTCATATACCCCTTAGAATATTGATTATTTACCTTACTCAACATTGAAAGAAGATACACTCATGCCCTTAGGTTTTAGTTTTTCTTTCCACAACTGACTTTTCAGCTGGGTTGTCAAAGATTGATGGAATGAAGACTAGAGGATAGGCTGAAAAGGAAATATGAATTTCTATTTTTGACATTCGGTGGGAAGTTTGAAGATAATTTGGAACAAAGAGACTCAAGAGAGTATTAAATTTACAGAATCTGCTATAATGCTGGTCAAATCTCCTATAATAATATGCTATCTGCTAATTGCCAAGACCCAACAGGTCAAGGTCGGAATTGACTGGTTTATAAATTAGTGTGTAACTTAAAAAAGGCATTGGATGTAATTGTTAATTCAACAGTCTGAAAATGTTGCATACTTCATGTGAAGACTCAAAACCTTCTTTTCTTGAATAAGAGTACAAGAGAGTGTTGACAAAGCTGTATGTGCGCTGAAATTTATATTAGGTTTGAGTAGTTGTTGTCGATTTGTCGTAACGTAACTGACGTTAGACTTCCTCACATGCAAATTGTTGAGTTGAGTGTGCCATAGCTTGTTTTCGACTTATCGTTACCAAGGTTGGACTTTCTCATATGCAAATTGAGTTTGATGTGTCTGAGCTGAGCGTACCTGGAAACTAATTAGATGAAAAATGAGTTCCCAGTGAAGTATTGAAATATCTTTTTGATTCTTTTGAGAAGACTTAGTGTCCTTACTACTGTTACTAGTGCAATTGTAGAACTTTTCACTTAGCCCTTGTCTTACCTCCAATACAGGGCGGAGATCCTATTGATTCTTGGGAGACATGGAATTCATTTCGTCTTCTTTGTGAACATAACAGCCAACTCTCAGTTGCGCTTGATGTCCTGTAAGTTACATGCCCCATTTTGACCGAGTGTCATGATTGATAAATGATGCACTAGAATTTTGTTGAGCTTTTTTTTTTTTTTTTTTTTTTTTATTTGTCACATCAGGGGTTCCCTTCCATCTACAAATTCTTTGGGTCGCTGGATTGGAGAGCCGGTACGAGCAGCTATTATTCATACTAATGTAAGTTTAGTGGATTTCTTCTTAACTGTTTTACCTGTGTATTGTTTGCATTTTCACTGTGATGTTTGCTTGTTGACAGTCTTTTCTTACAAATGCTCGTGGGCACCCTTGCTTATCAAAGCGTCATCAGAAGCTACTCACACAGTTCTTCAACCATTCAGTACAGGTAGTTCCCTGAATTCATTTGAGTGATTCTGGTTATATAGCCTTCAATTCTTGTGGCATCTCTTTTAATGGTTGCTTTTACCCATTTCTGGCTGTATTTGAAACTTATGACCAGGTAGTCATTTCTGGAGGATTGGCACACCCTGTTTCTATAAAATCACTGGAATCAGCTACTAATGATGTTAACAGTGAGTTTCTGAATTTGGTTGCAGATGGTTTAGCCTTTTGCTTTATAACACATTGTGCTTGTGAGGCATAGGGCAAAACATAAAAATGGTTGTAATTGTCAATGTATTTTATGCAATGGTTTCAAAAACTGACATCTTTCTAATCTTCAAAGGTCTCAGATTTTGGAGAGCCAAATAATCAGGTTTTTTTTTTTTTCTTTTTTTTTTTGAGAGTTGATTAATCAGGATACTTTTTCAAATTCAACTAGTATATGGAACCGGGCAATGCCTTGGGTCATTACATCGGGTTGACATTAAAATACTACATAAGTTTTAATTCATGACAATATTTTGTAATTAAATTTGTTATTCATATTGTCATTCACTAAATATTAATATTTTGCACACAAAAAATAATCTAAAGTATGACATAGTTCGGTGGTAAGACACTTAGTTTTACAATTAGAGATTGCATGTTCGAATCTTGTGGGAAACTTTTTTGTTAAAAATTGATGACATTTGACATGCAATGAAAAACATATGGAGGAGAGCGTCATGTGGCACGTATACTTTTTTTAGAACGCCTTTTAATATATAGTATAGATTGTGAACGACTTTCTCTTCTCTTAAGAAAAGAGACTTCTAAGCATTTCTGAATATAAGGGTTAGTGAATTTTTTTTAATTTTTTTTTTATTCATTCCATTTGGTGGTATAGGTATGTCCTAATTTAGTGATGGATTGTGGTGGGTCTCATCACTCGTATAATGACCATTGTTATAGCTTTTTTCTGATAATCTTGTTTTTGTTTCTGACGAGTCAATCGCCTTATTTACTTAGCAATAGCTCTTTGTGTGGATTTAATATAAAAGCCTTTGCTATTTTCTTTGTTTTTGATCCAATTCTGTATGAATTTCCCATGACACTGAAACTGATGCTTTGGGTGTACATTGAAATCTAATAATTCACTTCTAACTTTTATTTCTTGGTTTTAATATTTTTCGTCTTGACTTATGATAGCTTTCTCTTAGGTGATGTAGGGCATCCTTTGAGAGCATACTTGTACTATATTGGTTATCTTTACCAAAAGATGGATCCACTCCCTGAACAGGAGCTCTATGAGGTAGTGCATCAGTTTGATTCAGTGTCTGAATGTTAGTTCTCAAAATTGTGAAGGTTTAAGTGCTCTAATCTGTTCTTTCTCTTTCTTATTGCAGCTTAGCTACAGGGACTTTTTGCAGAGTCCATTGCAGGTAACTTCTGCGCATTCCGTGTTGCATTTTAAGTTGGTTAACATAACATCTCTGATTTCATATAGGTTAGAGGCCTTAGAGCAATCATTACTTGTTTCTTTTTTTTTTCTTTGCATGGCTGTATTACTCATGTTGCTGTTTGCAGCCTCTCATGGATAACTTGGAGGCGCAAACATACGAGACATTTGAAAAGGATACAGTAAAGTATCTTCAGGTGATACTTTGTTGTCGTTGTTTACGTTATAGTCTATAATCTACATGTATAAGCTTCCGTTATTGTTGATAAGTTTGTTGCTGTAGTCGCTGCCCATTTATTGATCCAGTAGCCGCTTTGCTTGATGACTATCATTCTTGCCAAGCAATGCTATCATTCTTGATGACAATCATTTGGCACTGATATATGAGAAGTAACCAGTTTTGTAATTTCATTCTGTCTATACTTTGCTAATTTTTTATTTGGGAACCCTTTGGCTGACTAGATTTGGAAACTTATATATTTTATTTTCAATTGGAGTCTTCAAATTTAGATTTTGTAGGGAATTTTGAGTTTCTGGCTGGTATGTGTTGAGGTTGCCCAAATCAATGTATGATGTTTGCTTAACAAAATTTAGATGTTGATACCATTGAGTCCCAATCCTAGAAAACCCATTTGATGTGTGCTCAATAAGATTAGGAAATTGATCCGGTGAGGCCCCCACTCCTAGGAAGCCCGGGCATTTGTTTTTCATACCATATGAACAACATGTCTTTCTTAAACTTTATAAAGGATGATAACAATGACTATCTCATCACCCACAACCATCAGCATTGTCGCTATTGCCTCCTCTTCTCCCCCTAGTTGCCGCTTCCTCTATCCAGCATTTCCATACTTGTTGCTCTCTTTCTCCCACCATAATCGCCACTGTGCATTGCAATAATCACTACCGTGACTGATGGAAAGGTGCATCAACTTTTATTCTTTTCAATCTGTATCAATAATTGTTTTTCACCACATAATATCTAGTCTGGAAGTTAAGTAGGAAAAAGCCAAAGAGCAGCTTTCCAATGGTTCATGATCAGGAGGACAAAAAGGTGATGTGGGGGGGGGGGGGAGTGTGATTGATTTTAAGGGAGTATAGAAGAGAAAAACGTACGATAGAGGGAGGAGGATGAAAAGAGATAATAATGGAGGGAAGATTTGGAGGAGAAAGGTGAGAGAGATGAAAGGTGGGTTGCCGCGCGGGGGGGGGGGGGGGTAATGAGGAGAGTGAAGATTGCTTTGGAGGAATAATAGGAGAGAAAGAAGTGTAATTAAAGGATGGAGGGGTTGGAGGAGAAAGAGGAGAGAGATGAATGGTAAATTTTGGTAGAAAAGAGAGTGAAAAATGGAAGCTAAGAGGCCACGATGAAGGTGGGGAGAGAGAGGCTGTTTTGGGGAGTAGGAGTGTGTCTAAGAGGAAAAAGGTTGGTTGAAGGAAGGGGATTATAGGTGTTGAGGTGGGGATGGAGGGGGGTTTTACTAAATTTTTGGTATTGAGCAGTGTATAAGAAACCTCAATGTGCACTAAGGTGATGGGGGTCCTGTTGCACGACTAAAGTGTGGAGGCGCTAGGCGCCTAGTTTTTTTTTTTTTTTTTAAAAGGGGCTCCATCCCAATTGCCTAGCGCCTCCACGCCTTAGTCGTGCTTTTTCATACACTGGTATTGAGTTTAAAAATTATCCATTTAACACATGGGTTTGACTTCTATCCCCGGAGGCAAACTAAGAAGGCCTTAGTTTATGCTTTACTTTTATACAAATTATATACTTGTATTATATTTGACAACTCTATTTGGGCCGAGGGAGTATGTATACTCATGTGCTGATGACTTTTCTTGGGCAGTACCAAAGGGCGGTCGGTAAAGCTTTGCTGGACAGGATTCCTGATGAGAAAGCATCGAGTGTAACCTCTGTAAGTGATCATGTTTCAGTGACTTGTTAATGACATTACCTTCTCACTTTGTGTGATATACGAAGTATAGTTTATCACCAAAAAAAAAAAAAAAAAAAAAAAAAAATTAAAAATATGTATGTGTAATATCTTTGCTTTCTGTGCTGGATGCTAGCATTCTGAATTACTTATGTGCTCATGTGCCATTTTTTTCCTCTCTATCATGCATCCAGTTGGACTGTGACATTATTTATGGTTATCTAAATTTATTGTTGGCAGGTTTTGATGGTCGTTGGAGCTGGAAGGGGGCCTCTTGTCAGAGCATCTTTAGAGGTTTGTCTGGATATGTTTCTAGTTGATAGTTTATTTATGTTCTGATTGCAGAAGGGGTATGTTTTTTTGTAATATTCAAACTTATTTTCCGCAAACTCCGAGCTCGACATATGCTTTAATGTGATATTAAAGATAGCAATGATATCACAAACTGTTAGTGTTTTTATTCACAATTCTTTTAATCTGTGCATCAAAGTTATAGAGGTAGTTATCTTCCTCCGTTCTTTTTTTAGTTGACATGTTTTGACTTTTGACACTATTCACATTCTCTACTTTGACTAGCTTTTGTAATTTATAGTTATGATAAAACATATTCATGTGGGATCTTGTTATAGTTGCCTCGATGTATGTTTTTTATAATATCAACTGAAAATTTTAATTATTGATGGTTAGAGATATTAATCATTGAACTTATGCGCTAGCAAACGTGACAAAATAAACGCGTCAACTAAAAAATGGACGAAGCATATTAGAGATATATATGGGTGGACATACATTATCATTGAGGAATTTAGAGGGACAAACGATATCACAATCAGGAAGTATTTTTATTCACCATTCTTCTACCCTGTGCATCACGGGTATAAAGATAGATTATAAATCAGAGTTAATTGTTTTGGACAAAGCGTTATCACTTGATGTGACTTTCCTAGTAACATTCGTGAGTATAGATGCTTTAGAGTGCACTCTGGCTACAATTGTGCTTATAAATGATTCACATTTACTTTTTCTTAAAAAGTATTACATGCAAAAAAAAATCGTGAGCTACTGTATCCAGTCATTTATGACAAATGCTTCAAAACTTGCCTAGCTATTTCAGATAGCCTGTTAAATTTGGTGTCTACTGAACATATGGGTTCCTTAATTCTAATATTGGTCAGTAGTTCTTGATATGCCTTGATTTTAGATTTTTTTTTATAATTTTTTACATTAAGATTATTCTGTACCACTTTATTAATTTTTCTTATTTGTTTTGAACATAGGCAGCTAAAGAAACAGGCAGAACTTTAAAAGTTTATGCTGTGGAGAAAAATCCTAATGCTGTGATAACTCTTCATGTAAGTTGCATTTAGTTGTTCAAGCTTGTTACAGTCATCTGCCTAATTTTATCTGTTGTTTTTGTAAATAATCTTCTCTGTTTTGGAATTTTTGATCGGAGGTAGGACTCAACCATTTAACAAGTTTCTTCTGTTTTCTTAAAAGTTGATATACTGGGATTTGATAACTGAAATAAGGTGTATGTGATTCTTGCTGTCTACCTTGTTGCTTAGCTTTGTAAAGTTGGACTTCATCATACCACTTAGCTTCATAGATACCACTTAACATGTTGCAACTTATGAGAGCTGTGCCATCCTACATGTGGTGTTCTATGCTTTTTCTTTACAAAGAGAATTTCATATAATTTAACTTTGATGTATATGAGGCTATTTGCTACTCCTACCTTAGATTAATTGCAGTGCTGCACTGGTTTGACCAGTGCCATATCTTATGTTCAAAATTGTGATTCAACTAGAGGCATATTCCTACTGAGATTACATGTAAATTAAGTGCCATTGTAGTTTTTGTAGACATATTTTTTCTGCTGCAGAGAGTGTATTGGACTTTTATATTATTGCATCAATGTCTATCTCTATTCTTCGTTCAACTGTACATTGAATTTGCTTGTAGGAAATAGCAAGTTGAGAACAGCTCTGAATGATTATTGTTATTTGTTTTCTTTTTTTAATCCAGAGCCTGATTAAACTTGAAGGATGGGAGAATATTGTTACCATAGTGTCTAGTGACATGCGTCATTGGGATGCCCCTGAGAAAGCTGACATTTTGGTAAGTTTTCTGTCTAAATGTCATTCAAAATTCTGTTCATGTATTCTTGTTATTTACTCTGCTCTACTATGTTGGTTTTAGGTTAGTGAGCTGCTGGGTTCTTTTGGTGATAATGAACTTTCTCCTGAGTGTCTTGATGGGGCTCTAAGATTTCTGAAGCCAGATGGCATCTCTATCCCATCATCGTATGTATCAGATACTAAATTTTGCCTCGCTTGATTTGGCAACTGATTTTGTTTAGTTTTAAATTGTCATCAAATTGTTGCTGCTAAAATTTAAGGTGTAGCTAGGATTTTAACATTTGTTGATTGCATTCCTTTTTCACTCAGGTACACGAGCTTTTTCCAACCCATCACAAGCACCAAGTTGTATAATGATGTATGTACCTTTGGCATACTAGTCTGACTTTGTCAATTTCCTTCCCATCATCTAACTTGACTTCCCTTTTGTTTCTGTTGTAGGTTAAAGCACATAAAGATCTAGTGCACTTTGAAACTCCTTATGTGGTAAAATTACACAAAGTAGCAAGGCTTGCTCCATGTCAGCCAGTAAGTCCCTTCCCTCAAATCCACTTACCCACTCCCCTGGGCCGAAAAAAAAGGATGAAAATGATATAGATTCCCACCGGGGGAAAAAAAAAAAAAAAAGCCCTTACCTTTTTGTGAGCTTGGATCCTTTCTGTCCTGTCTTTATTTTGCTAGTGAAATTCTTTTAATTAACTCTCTTGATATCCATAGCTGTGCTGGTAGATTGATTGTTCTTGAGTAACAATATTTACTTGTTTGTCACTTACAGGTCTTTACTTTTGTCCATCCCGAGTACTCTCCAAGCAATGATAATCAACGTTATACGAAACTGAAGTTCGAGATACCTGAAGACACTGGGTCAACATTGGTTCATGGTATGCCTAATTGCCAATTTACAGTTATGGTGAATGAAATAGTAGAATCAAGAGTTTAAAATTGTAATCTGGAAGATTAGCTAGCTCTGTTGTTAATTTACCTAATAAGATTGTTTTGAATACTAGGTTTATGTTGGTGCTTGATATAGTTACCATTTTACGTCTAATTAATTTGTATCTGTTTTCATCAAGGGACCAGAAAAATAGTTATTCTATTATAATTTTTTTAAAAAATGTATATATATAAAAAAAAAAAAAAAAAAAAAAAAAAAGCTTTACAGATTTGTTTGTAAGCTGAGATTTGATTTTTAATTTGTATAGTTAGTAGTTACAAGTACGGTCTCAATCCTCATTTTCAGTAGATGACAACTATGTTCAGAATGCATATGTAACCATGTGGACACCATTAAATTTACATGTTGGATTCTTCAGTGCTTTCTTTTCCATTCAATATTCATTTCTTTGTTTTATTCAAAGGAAATTTTATTAAAGAGCTTTGCTGTCTATTTTGCTTGCCAGGGTTCGCTGGGTACTTTGATGCTACTCTCTACAAAGATGTACATCTTGGTATAGAACCAACAATGCCAACACCAAATATGTTTAGCTGGTATGTGCTGTAGCTCTCTTTCCAGTTATGTTCCGAGTTTTGCTCTTAAGCATCGACCCCCTCTCCCACTTCTCCCCCAACTAAAAGAGGAAATACAAGTTTATCTCCATGATAAACAAATTTTGTTTAACACGGGCACAAAAGTGTAATTTTTGCGATGAAAATGGGTAAAACCGCTACTTGAGGTAGCGGTTTTGCCTTAAAACTGCTTATACCAAAACCGCTACTTGAGCAAAACTGCTACTTGAGGTAGCGGTTTTACTCCGTGATAAACGAAATTTGTTTATCACGGAGATTAACTGGGGCAACCTCCAACTAAAAATACTGTCATTGTCAGACAATAATGCTAGGTCAGGATTTGTGTGGCAAAATATTGATGGCCTAAATATAGCTAGGGATTTCATTGGGGTCTTTAAATATTCTATTTCTTGTACTCCATATGGTATTCTAATTTAGAAAAGGTTTTAAGTTGGAGACAGCCGATGTTCAATGTAGTATTTCACAAGGGAGTAAGAAAATACAATGTAGTATTACTTGCTGTTATGCTAAAGTAATGTGAAGTATATGGTGCCGTTTTAAATTTTTCTTTGGCTTTTATGGTCAACTGTTGCAGTTTTATACTTCCTCCGTTCTTTTAATATCGCATCACTTGCCTTTTAGGGAAGTTTCGCAAATATGCATCACTTCCGTTTTGATAATATGATTCAGAGGGGGTGCTTGCCTCTTTACGACCTCTGATTGCTATGTTTCAATGTGATTTATGTGTTTTAGTTTCCATTGTCTTATTAAAGTGGGAGACTTTCTGTGTTGTGTGCGTGATTTGGGTACGGTTGCATGATAAAAAGAGATGAGGTGCTGGGTGTAGGTTTTAAAATAAAATGAATGGATAAACTGCTTAACCATTTGTCTCAGACTTTGTCTCTCTGTTGGCCTTTTCCATTTCCACCCCCTTGCCCATTTAGATTGTCTAGTTACTGACTGAATTTCCTATCGTTTCAAAATTAACTTCACTTTTTATATTGTAGTATCTCAAGAACTTCATTTTGTATTTTCATGATCTTCCCTTGTCTTTAATATACCCTCTTGCAATTTTTATTTTACGAGTTGAATCTATTCCTAATTTTTGTGCCAATCTTAAAGTGGGAATTCATGGGAATATGGGACAGGACACAGGAGTAGTATTTGCATGTATTATGCATCAGTCGTTCCAGCACCACGAGTTTCAAGTTTTGTAACTACTGTAGCCAAAGTTCGGCATTGAAGTCTGCTTAATGATGTTCTGCTTCTCTCTTGTCTAGGTTTCCTATCTTCTTCCCATTAAGGGCACCAGTGTGCGTGCGTCCAGGAGTCCCTCTAGAAGTTCATATTTGGCGATGTTCGGGCTCAACAAAGGTACCCCCCCTCCCCCTCTTCCCTCCCTTCCCCCTGACATCACTAAATTTCAACTGAGCTGAGCTGAGTTGGCTTTCAATTGGATGCAGGTTTGGTATGAGTGGTGTGTTGCTTCTCCTTCCTCATCACCCATCCATAATAGCAAAGGGCGTTCATACTGGGTTGGTCTTTGATTTGTCAACCCTGTAAATCTAGCTTTCAAAAGGGCACAAGCTTTCTGGAGCGAAACATTGAAAGCATGTACCATTTCATCAGAAAGGCAGTGACTTGCAGCTAACTCTAGTCTTCCAAGATGTGATCTAGTTGTCAGGCACCAAGCACCTGATTTGATTCATGTAGGAAGAAACCATCTTATATCTGCAGTGAAAGAGACGTATAAAGGTCAAAAGCTTTCGCCACAAGTCTTACATGAGCAGAGGTGGAATTTGTGTTCCTGCAAACCACACTAGGATGTGTTAGGTTTTCATGAGCAGATAAGTTGCGGTTGTACTCAGAAAGCTTTATACATATAATTTTCTTTATATTTTGTGCTACATTGAAAGCATTGTGCATTCATTCTTTCAAGTTTTTGTAGCATATTAGTGTTGTATTATAGAAACATAGGGAGTAATGGTAAAATTCCTATTAGATCTCGTTAATCATTTCATCCTATTTCAATGTTCATCTTTGCAAAGGAAATTTGACTGTGTTTATTAAATGTTGGTGATCATAAAGTGCTAGAATGCTGGGAACTTAGGATTGATATCAAAATATTCATCCAGTCATTTGGCTTCCGTGACTTCTCGAAAACAATTTACCTGATTATCAAGCTGAGAAGTAAATGGTGACAATATCTTAAATTAAAACTATAATGCCCGTGCGATGCATAAGTTTATAAATCAAAATATCAATTCCGTAGGAAAAAAAACAAAGATAGTTTAGTTAGTAATAAAAGGCTCATTTACTAATGGTCGTCGATACAAAAAGAAAGGATTGTATTTGAATAGTATTTTATGTTATTTGTATCTCTTTTATTTTTTATAATATTATTTTATTAATTGAAAAATAAACGAATAATGCTTCACATAAATATAAATATGAGAGAAGTAAACTATTTTATTTTCTATCTCCCGTAAAGAAATAACTAAAATTTTATTTTCTTGTTATACCATCCGCTTTAGTAGCTACAATCTAATACATGTTTTTACCCATTGCATTCACCGAGTCTATAGACACAATAATAACCTAATATCGACCCATTAGTATTGTATATGATATACAGAGTAATATCTATAGTATACGAATTAATAGATATGAAAAAAATTTAATATAGATTTGGGAAATATGTGAATCAAAACTATCATAATTATGTGATTTGGTGAATATTTTGTGTAAATTTTATAGTAGGTAGTTGATGACATTGACAATAATAATAAAATCGAAAAAAAGGGTGGGGGAATTTTGGAGGGTAAGTACAGCACCCGAATGTGACACGTGTCATTCCTGGTGTCAGTTTTAGTATATTATAGTACTTTGCCCGAGCAACGCTCGGATATTCACAGGAAAAAAATTATATTTATATGTTACTATAAATTTGTAATTGTTTATAGATTATGTATACATTTAATATTTTATTTGCCCCTCGAAAAAAAATATATTATTTATTTAGAGTAGTTGTTATTGTTCTACTCCCTCCGTTTCATAATTAGAAGCATGTTTTCCTTTTTTGGGTGTTCAAAATTAGAAGCCTATTTCTATTTATCGAAGTACTTTTTCACAATAATGCCCTCTTTTTGATGATTTGTCATCCTTTTCTTTTTTGTACTTTTGACATCAATTTTCAATACTTTGTCTCTCCATCTCTTCAATAATTCTCAACCACTTTTTCTTTCTCTCTCTAACCCCACATACATATTTGTACTCCCAATCAACTTCCTTAATTCCTGTGAAAATTGGGAAATAGGCTTCTAATTATGAAATGGAGGGAGTATAATTTAGGCTTTATATTCTCTCTCTCTCTTTATTTATATATATATATATATATATATATATATATATATATATATATATATATATATATATATATATATATATATATATCAATTATCTTATTATATTTCAAGGAAAAAAAAAGAAAGAAAAGTTTTTGGCGGGAAAATTTTTATCGTGGACGCGACACGTGTACTTTTAGGATAATCCTGGTGATTATTTTAGTATATAGTATTGATTGATAATAGCCTTTTGGCCTGTGCCATGCACGGGTTATATATATGGAAATTAGAAAAGAAAATTTGTCCTTTGGAATCTCAATGAATATTTTAGGAAAAATCTTGTAACCGTCACATGGGTGATTGAATAACTATCAATCAATTCAATGAAAGTTAAAAAGTAAGGGAAGAAAAGAATTACTTGTATGTGAATTGAATAGGGAAATGAATAATACAAAGAAAAGAATTGCTTGTATGTGGATTGAATAGGGAAATGATAATACAATTGATGAAGAATGTTGAAAGGCATTTAAATGTTGGAGACACTAGTGGAAAAAAGGTCATTTGTAACGCCCTATTTGTAACGGACAAAAGTTTGCCCGTTACAATAAACCTATTCATAACGGGCAAATTAATAGTCCGTTACAATTAAGCAGCGTAATGGGTAGGACAAATAGTATTTGTAACGGGCAAAGTTTGCCCGTTACAAATACTTTGTTTTTTGTAACAGACACCTTTTGCCCGATATAAATAACTTTGTGAAGAAAATTAAAAACCCTGCTAGATAAGCCGTGTTAGTTTTCAGATTAATTCCTATCGTTTGTTTCAGCTTATGTCGTCTAATTATTGATCAGCTATTTTTGTAGCTTATTGACTGGTTTAAGGTACTCAGTTTATGGTTATGTATCGTATGTTTTGTTTGTATGTTTGTTTGGCCTTCTCTTTATCTTGGCCCTACGACGACCCATTTCTAATGGCGCGTAGTAGGGACAAAGTAAAGAGAAGCTTTTCAGGTGATGAAACATGTTCATGATGGGCATGAGTGAACAACGAATCATGCTTACTTTCTATAAGAATATGATGTGGTTTATTGTTTTGATTATCATATATTTTGCTTGTGAGACTAACACAAAGGTTTTTAAAATTCGTTTTGGGTTTTGATAAGGGCCTACAATGGTTCCTGAAAGGAATGGTGTCCTTCCAACAAGTGTATTATTTTGATAGAGGGTTCGGAATTATTAGAAAACTAATTCTTCAGTAAGGTCAAGTGATCGGAATGCCTAGTTGGACGCCGTTTCCGATCAGTAATATTAATGCATAATTAATATTACGGCTTAATCTTGACTGAACCCTTCGGGTCGCACCCCTATCGAATAACCGATCCGATACGACGAATCAATCCGAGAGGATTAGATGAGCCATTAGAGTATTACGAACAAAGACGTTGGATATCGAGCTTAGAGCGTCGAAACCGAGCGTCGTAAGTCGAGTCGAATTCGGAATTCGGCGAGACGTGGAATCAAGCAAGCGAAAAGTACGAGCCAAGCCGTAGCATCGCATTGGTCTAGCCATGCGAGTGCTAGGCTAGGTGAGGTCCCAAACCGCATGCGTGCTAACGTGCCTAGCATTTCCTAGCACACGCACATTGCACAACACGAGCATCGCAAGATGCGTGCCATGCGTGTGTGTGATGTGGCTGGGCGTGCTTTGCGTGCTTGCTAGCATAGCGGCACTAGCCGCATCATCGCTAGCATCGCAGCATGCTTGGGCATCGCACAGCTGACAGGCTAAAGTCGTATCACCTAATCAAAAGTAATTCCTAAAACCACTAACTAAAATAGATAGGGAAGTAGGGTCAAATCCACAGGGAAACAAGTCTTTCTATTCCTAATTAATTAATATAATCTAAATTATCAAGTAACCAAATTGTTTTTGTGAGAATTAAACTAATAACTAAACTAAAGCAAATTAAATAAGGGAGGAAAACAATAATAAAAGACCTAGGGTATAGGTTCACCAATAAATAATATTACAGGGTAAAACATAATAATCAATCATCAATGCATAGATTAATCAGAGCATATAGGGCTTTCGCTACGTATTATGACCATAGAATTAATCTATCGCTATTAAATTGCATCTCTCGAATCTTGACTTAACCATTTATAAATTAACCTGCCTATTGAAACTAAGCCTAAACATCAATTCTCAGCTCTCGAATCTCGAATCAATATTGCATAACTCATACAATTAAACCTGTGCAAATCTAATTGCATAGCATTAAATCAATCAATAGGAAATCAATCTAAAACATCAACAATCAACATTAATAAATTACTCCTTCATATTATTCATGGGTCCCCACAAACCCTAGAAAATAAACTACTCGCACATATGTAAATCTAAACTAACCAAAGCAATTAGAGGAAGCACATTAAATCAAAGCAATTAAATTACCGAAATTAAAAGGGGAAGAAATCGTTACTAAATTAAACGGAAGTAAAGAATTGCATAATTCAAAGTGTTGAGAGGGATCAAGAGTATTAACTAAGAGCTTAAAACTAAAAACTAAGAAATTAAACTAATGAGAAAAGTAGAGAGAGAGAGAGAGAGAGAGAGAGAGAGAGAGAGAGAAGTTCCCAAACTCACTGAACAAAAGCGTATTTATATTAAACTAAGAAAACCTAAGCTAAAACGAAGATTAAAAGTGCTAAACGAACTCAGAAACACGTGCCCGGTCGGGCGCCATCTTGCCCTGCCGGGCGAGCTCCCGAGCAAACTTAGATTTCTTCAATTGGGCCGTTTCTTAGCCCAATTCACATTTCCTCTTTGGGTTCTGAATACATGGTCCATTGCCCCGGACTCTTCTTCTTCGCCGAGCCTTTAATCACCGATTTGACGACTCCAATCGGTCTTGGGCTATGAAAAATGGTCATAATTCTCCAATGCTCGTAGTGGCTTATCATAAGTCCGGGAAAATACTCCAAATCTGCAATTTCCTATAAACAGTACCAAAACTACGAAAACACTAAAAACGCATATTAGTAATAAAAGTAGCTCCGTAGAGCTCAAATAAACACAATTATGACCACTGGGACGGGGAATAAATATATATATAAAATAGACTTATCAATAGCACAACACGCAGTATCACAAGTCATGCGTGCATGTGTGTGGCTGTGCGTGCTTGCTAGCGAGCAGCACCAAGTGATTAGGGGATTTTTATCCTCCAATCACCGTCTGACAAGTGGACCAACCAGGTTCCGCCACGTGTCCTTCACGTAGGCCAATAGGAGCCTGCCACGTGTCAATCACAGATTCGTCCTTTGCGGACTAATTGAGACACGCCACGTGTCCACCCATGCCAGATGGGAAAACCGGCCACCAAGGCCCAATCCTGTTTAGAGGCCCGGTCAGCCCTAGGTTTACCCTAAACCTAGAGAGTGGCACGCTTCTCAAGACTATAAATACTCCTCTTAATCCCCATTAAGAGAGAGAACTCTAATAACACACGGATTATACATTAAACACTCTCACCTAGAGAGACTAAACCACTTTAATTTCCGCACTCATTACTCCTTAATCAGGTACTAACTTGACCGTTGGAGGCGGAGCTCTCAGGAGTCTCCGTTATTTTGCAGGTACAGGCGTCCGGTTCCAGTCTCGGTGTTGTAACTCTCCCGCAGGACATCAGAAAACCCCGAAACATTTGGCGCCGTCTGTGGGGAGA